TGGGGCTCTCGCCCTTCGTCTCACCTTCGAATTCAGTAGCCAGTTTTGGGACGCACCGCGTCGCGCCCTAATTCGGGGCCTGCGGACCGAAAGTCCACAAAGAAAGAAAGAAAGAAAGATGTACTATTTTTGGGTTGCCTTAGTATCATTAAGGCTTTTATATTAGGGTTTAGGGGTTAGGCTTTAGGAATCAGGGATTAGAATTTGGGATTACGGTTTAGGGTTTAGGGGGGGCATTTTTGGGGTTTAGGATGTAGTTAGGGGTTGAGGGAAAAAGAACTATGAGGGTGCCGGTAAGGGATCTAAAAGGGTACTTTGGGAGTTGAGGATTTAGGGTTTTTCAGACAGTCTACTGAAAGGATTTCCTTTCAAGGTTCCCTTAAGCATTCCTTTTGGGGCTCCTAAAAGGGCTCCCTATAAGGGCTACTACAAGACTGCAATAGAGACTCAAAAAGGATTCCGGGGGATTGGGCTTGGAGCTTTTCAGGGGTTTAGGGTGGAATGGTTCGGCCCGAATGCCCGAACTCTCGTTCCCCCTCGGATCAGGGTTTAGGGTTTAGGGTGTGCGGAGTTTCTCCTGTATAATCCCACCCTTGGTGACGGGATGGTGCTAGGATGGTCTACAGAGGTTTGTTGAACCCGAAGCTTCTTGTAGAATCCGTGTAGTACCGCGTAGAAGTAGAAGAAACCCTCAACAGAACTCCACACTACAGGAAACGGGTCTAGGTTGTTTCGAACAGAATAAAGCCTTGCTACAGAGTCCAGAACCCCGACCCGCAAACCCCTGGGCCTGCAAACCCTAAAACCGATTCACAAGAACTGTAAGCCATATGAAGACATTGCCAAAACCCTAAACCCTAAATCGCCCTAACACGATGAGAAGCCCCTGAACGAACTGGCCTTGTCTCCTTGGCCAGTGCGCCCCAATGCCGTGAGTGTCAACAGTGCAGCGGATGCCTGCGGCCGCGGCAGCTGTTGGGAGGGGGCACTGGCACTATTGGTGGCCCGGCACCACGAAGGGTTTAGGGGTTAGGGGTTTAGGGTTTAGGGGTTTAGGGTTTTAGGGGTTTAGGGTTAAGTTTAGAGGTCATGAAGCACGGATGCATAGGGCTCCTTAGGGTATTGGCGGTATTGGTGCATCCCAATTTGAGATTTTAGCATCGGGGGTACAAGTACGCAACCCACGTTTAAATCCTAGTTCATATCGCGCGGGCGGAAAGCCCTATGCAGGTCCAAAGACATGTGGCCTAGGGTGTACGTTTTAGGAATTTGATGCATATTGGTGGCATGGAGACATGCAAGTGTCCGTAGTCTTCAACGTCCTTGAGAGTTCAACACCCCCAACTCGGCAACTGTTTGGATTCAGGGCAAGGGTTTTAGGGATTTTAGGGTCTTACTAAACCCTAAATCCTAAACCCTAAACCCTAAATCCTAAACCCTAAACCCCAAACCCTAAACCCAAACCCGAACCCTAAAACTATCTGAAAGTCCGGAGCCCCAAACTCTCGAATAACCTAGGCTCTACGCAAACCCGTGCCAGGAGGATACGAGGACCTAGTAGGTAGGCTCATAGGTGGAGTTTGAAGTACCCTGATTAGGATTGCACTTCTTCTAACTCCACTTACAACTCTAGTTATAACTGACTCTTCTAGCCCTAAACCCTAAACCCTAAACCCCTGAAGCCCCAACCAAAGCCCTAAACCCTACGCCCCTACTCAGAACCGACTTACTCAGTCTCCCGATCCGCTAAGTGGAGCCCAAGAGGTTGGAGCCTCCTGCCCCACGGCCATCACCTACCTCACGGCCCGGGAGCTCGGAAGACGGAGCCTCCGAAATGCGGGCACCGGGGCTTACAGTGTTGACTTAGGGTTTAGGGTTTAGAGTTTAGGGTTTAGGGTTTAGGGTTTAGGGTTTAGGGTTTAGGGTTTAGCACATGATGGTTTCGAAATAATGTAGGGCCGTTCACAATTAGAATAGGGTTTGGGGGTGTATTATACTGTAATTATAATAAGGAACCCTTAGAACCCTGTTCTAGAACCTTAATAATTAGCTACTTATTAAGGCCCCTACATTACGAAGGTAGGTTGAGAATTCAAAACTTGAGCTTGCGGGCTTCGGCCAATTGAATCCAGGTATTGCGAGGTCTCCCATGAACCTCCAAGTAAACCCTAAACCCTCAAGCCTATTATCCTTCATTTATTACAGTATGTACGCTATTTTATCCTATGTTACACTATATCATACTACAATGCACGAGTTTGCATTATACTACACTATACTACACTGTATTACGCTATACTACGATGGTATACTACTGCTGATGATATAAATCCTGCATTACCTTAAGCACCTTAAACTCTGGGAGTTATGGTACATTCCTTATTATGGGTCATGCAACTACGACGACGACGACGACGACTACTACTACTACTACTACTACTACTACTCCTGCTGCTGCTGCTACTACTACTACTACTACTACTACTACCACTACTACTACGACGTCCTTATTATCGGTCATGCAGGGTTTATATCACCAACCGTACGTTCCCTTTTTGCAAACCCTAAACCCTAAACCCTAAACCCTAAACCCTCAACCCTCAACCCTCAACCCTAAACCCTAAACCCTAAACCCTAAATTCCCTTTTTGCAAGCTTCCAGGTCCTGAGCGCCTGTGAGCGTGCGGTCGCCTGGCAGGTCGCCGTGGCCACTCTCGAGGTCCGGGTGGCTCAGGCTTTAGGGTTTAGGGTTTAGGGTTTAGGGTTCAGCAGCTCCGGAGCGAGCAGTTTCTAGTCGAGCTGGCGATTTCGGATTTAGAAAACAACCCACCCGCCCAAAGAATCCCATAACATTAAGAAAAACAAAGTTTCTCTATCATCTTTCAACGAGGTTATACCTACAACTTAGGTTCACACACTTTTTACAGCTTGAACCTTTTCATTGGAAATAAGAAGTTCGTTTTGTTTCGACGAGCCCACAAAAAGCCTTCATTCGCAGTTAGGATTCGTTCACTCTTACATGTAGTCTTTCACAATCGTTTCTCGATACTGCCCTGCCCTGTCCTGCTCTGCCCTGCCCTGCCCTGCCGTGCCCTGCCCTGCCCTGCCCCTGCCCTGCGCTGTTTTCCTGCCATGCTTGCTCTGCCCTGCCCTGCCCTGCCCTGCCCTGCCCTGCCCTGCCCTGGGCTGGGCTGGGCTAGGCTGGGCTGGGGTGAGCGGCCTGGGCTGGGCTGAGCTGGCTGCTGGGGCTGGGGCTGGGGCTGGGGCTGGGGAAAACGACCAAAATTAGGTCGTTTTGGACGCAAACCTGGTTTAGAAATGACCTTAAGTATTGACCAACCTGGTTCAGAAACCTTAAATACTGACCAACCTGGTTTAGAAACGACCTTAAATATTGACCAACCTGGTTTAGAAATGACCTTAAATATTGACCAACCTGGTTTCGAAACGACCTTAAATATTGACCAGCCTGGTTTAGAAACGACCTTAAATATTGACCAACCTGGTTTAGAAACGACCTTAAATATTGACCAACCTGGTTTAGAAATGAGCTTAAATATTGACCAACCTGGTTTCGAAACGACCTTAAATATTGACCA